GACTACTTTCCCCGTTTTCTTCATAACTGTCCTGCTCTTTTGGACACTGGCTTTGGTGTCTTGGCACCTTGTAAAGCTGTTGAAGTCAGAGGTTTTCTTTTCTTTTCAGCAAAGAGTATGAGCTTAAAGCGTTTAATGAGGACTTCCTCCTGTACCCTGTCTGCAGGGCTTTGAGGGGGACTGGTCTAACTGCATTTTGCATGGATTCAGTCCATAAAATGGTTCATCCTTGTGCATTGGGCTTCCAAATTGTGGTGCTCAGAGGCTTCGTGATTTTGGGGGGTGTTGAGCTTGTGAAGGAGGGTGGCTCTGCCTGCAGGTCAGCCTGGTTGTGGGAGATGATTGAGACATCTCAGTGACTTTTGGCTCCAGAATTAACAGTGAGTAGTAGATGTGTGTGAAGTGATCCAGGCATCAAGTGGTATACAGTAAGAGAGCAGAGAAAGTACTGCTAAAGGCAGAGGTTTATTCAGAACACAGATGAGAACACCTGAATTCTTGTTGTATGTTAGATGATCTAAAAGGCAAAAAAAGTCAGATACGGTATTATAACTATTATCATGCGGATGGATAGCCATTTTCTTGTAAAAGGGAAGCGGGAGGGAAGGTTAGCAGCATATGTGTGGGTAGATGGTTCACTGGGAAATAATTTACATTTTGATCACTTTATCCAGCTTTGTGGAGAGAGGGACACACGTTTATCTCCCTGGCCAAGCTGAGAGCTAAACTTGCAAACTTTGAATTAGAAATAAACTATCTTTGAGGTTACTGAGCTTTATTAAGAACAACTTTACACAGTGGTTGTGAAGCCAGTTCTGGGACTATGCTGTAATGTCACAGTCCCAGAACTGTTATGTTGGCCCTACAGCCATTCCCAGGGCTCACAGCTCTAAGGGTTAATTTTGTACAAAACTGTCCGTTGTTTGTTGGTTTTGGTTTTTTTTGTTTTTTGTTTTTTCCCCTTAATGCAAAATGATGCTTAGTTGTTGAGGAAGCTACTAAATATCAAACTGTCCAGATTGTATAGGTAGGTAAAAACCAACTAGAATCTGTTGCTTCCCACATCTATTTCTTCATTTCAGGTTTCTGAAATGTACATGAAAGCTGCATGTAAGGACCATACCTGAAAATAGGCTTTTATGTAATGATGAGCTTTCTAAAAACTTTTCTTGGGTATGTATTTCTGCCTAAATGAAAATAGATGTTAAAACTCAGCAGCTCTGTAGCATGCATTTGTAGAGGAGCTTTTATACCTTCCTGGTTTTGAGAGTGGCTGTAGTAGCTGCTGTTCTTAATTCAGCATTGACAGGTGTGGGTAGTGGTTATTGCATATTACTGTACAGCTAAAACCCTTCTGCTAATGAAGTTCTATTGTTTATCTGAGATAGTATAGAGTCAAATAGTTCACCAGTTGGAGCACACTGTAAGTAAAAGACTGTAAGAGATTCAGTCCCTATGATTCTCCTGCGGCTGAACCACGGACAGCAACTGAGCCCTGCACAGCCACTTCCTCACTCTGTTTGCTGGGATGGGGAGAGAATCAAAAGGGCAGAAGTGGGAAAACTTGTGGGTTGAGATAAAGACCGTTTAACAGGTAAAGCAAAAGCTGTGCAAGCAAGCAAGCAAAGCCAAATATGGAATGAACTGAACTGGTGTTCAGCCATCTCCAGGAAAGGAGGGCTCCGTCACATGTAACAGTTACCTGGGAAGACAAATGCCATCACGCTGAATGTCCTCCCCTTTGTTCTGTTCTGAGGTGGGAACAACATCCTGTTAGCTCTTTGTGGCAAGGTCTGACAGTAACAGAGCTGAGTCTTGGTTGTGAGGCACGTGTAAGTGGATTTTCATTAACCCACAGCAGCAAGGCTGTGGGGTGTTCTTGTTCATGTGGGCCAGTACAGAGTGGCAAAGTGCAGCATGCTGTCATCATGCAAAACAAGGCTTCTCTGTACTTCTGCTTTGCATATGAGTCTCTTCAGAGCAGCAGTCAGTCCAATGTTCAGGTCTGGAGTTTCTAACTATGTTAGAGTCCTTAGTCACTTCTGTATTTTCTCAATTTACGTTTGAGCTCCTGAGGATGTGAAACAAAGGAGAAAACATGGCACTGTGGTGCCTGTGCCTGGTAGCCTTGTGTTCTGTTGTCTTGAATATGTTAGTGCCAATTTTTAGCTAGTATCTGACAAGTAAGTTCAAGGGCTTGCTACACTATCCCTGCATAAGAGCTTGCCTGAATATCCTGAACCAGGACACAGTTTTTGCCAACTGTGTCCTGGGCCTTATCAAAAGGAGCATGACCAACAGGTAGAAGGAGGTGATCCTGCCACTCTGCTCTGCTCTCATGAGACCCTACTTGGAGCACTGCGTGCAATTCTGGTGTCCTTGAAGCTGTTGGAGCAAGTCCAGAGGAGGCCACGAGGATGATCAGGGGCTGGAACACCTCCCATATAAAGACTGGCTGAGAAAATCGGGGCTGTTCAGCCTGGAGAAGTTTCATGGAGACCTCAGAACAGTCTTCCAGCATCTGAAGGGAATCTACAAGGATGCCAGAGAGGGACTCTCCATCAGGGACTGTAGTGATATGACAAGGGGTGATGGATTTAAACTGAAATGGGGGAAGTTCAGGTTAGATATAAGGAAGAAGTGTTTTACTGAGGATGGGGAGGCACTGGCACAGGTTGCCTGAAGAATTGGTAAATGCTCCATCCCTGTCAGAGTTCCACGCCAGGCTGGACAGAGCCTTGGGTGACGTGGTCTAGTGTGAGGTGTCTCTGGCCATGGCAGGGGGTTGGAACTAAATGATCTTAAGGCCCTTTCCAACCAAAACTATTCTATGATTCTGTGAATATGTACAGCACTGATTATTGTGATGCTTTCAGTGAGAAGTTTAACATCAGAAACAACTGAAAACATTGAAAATTTAATTGTTCAGGGTTTTGCTGGATTAAGATTTCCAGAGCAGTGGTGATTAATAATTTTTTTGTAAGTATAAATACAGTTGCTAAAATTTTGTTCTCAGTTATGCCACTTGCCTCTTTGACGAAAGGATTTTTATAGAGGTGATATTTGCAAATGGAAAACCGTTCAAGGTCACCTATCTCACTCCTGGCAAAATGGGGAATTGGCCTGCTTTTATGGCCCTTGCAGAGTTCAAGTATTGGTTAAGATTGCCACCTAATGGCAAGGAAAGTAGTTGGCTGAGTATTTGGATATTTTTCACTAGTTACTACTGATTGGTTTTACCCAGTCATGTCTGCTCCAGTTACATAAAAGATACTAACCAGTTTTCAGGGAAACTTGAAATCCAGCTTTGTCTTCTCCTCCTAGTCATAGAATTTTAAGGCTGTTAAACTGGTTAAAAAGACAGGAAGTGATTTTTGTCTTCTCATCATTAGACTTCTGTGCTTTACCAAGTACTGCTTTATATTTTTGGTCAGGTATTGGTGCTTTAAAAAGTCTCCTCTGAAAGAGAGGTTAGTACAAAAAAATCTTCTGTCAATGAAGGCTGGTGTTAGGGGAGTATATAAGATCATTTCAGCTCCAGCTGGAATTTGGCATTAGAGCTTGAGTAACTTAAGTGCCTGTGTCCTCTTAATGTTTTGGGGAGGCCCTATATAAACTTGGTTAAGTCTAACAATTCTGCAGAATTTAGGGTGTTGTATTAAAATTGTCAGTAATTCTGTTTTGGAGAGCATAGCATCTCACTTGGCTAAATGAGCAATTAACTTAAAAAACAATTAAATATTTAATCTTCAAGAAAAGTTCCTCATAAAATTTAGCTTCTTCAGTTGTAAATTATGTGCATGTTTATTCAAGCACGTGAGACTTGTGTCAGATTATACTTAATAAATGCTGTTTGCAGGTTACATCAGGAAACATGAAGCATGTGCATTTCACTTGGCTGCCTCATTATGAGGGAAGTTAATAATTTTAATTTACATAATTCTGGCCTGATTGTGGCCCTGAGCATTTGCACCAGTTGGAAGTTCCCATGGTAATAGTTGGCTTACAGCAGCCATTTGAGAGAAAGTATTGTTTGAAAGTATGGACTCTTCCATAGGGTGGATTTCCTAATGGCAAAGATGTGCCTGAGAACTTGGGGAGATAGGAATGGCATCTGGTGGATGCCTCCAGCATTAGCTAAAGATAACAGGAGATGAATAAAACTTGAGAGTTGTGTTTTTTCCCTTTAGTTTACCTGTTTGAAAGTACTTTCTGTGTGTAATTCCTGCCTGCGTGATTTTTCTGTACTAGTGAAGAGAAAAAGAAGAACCTCATACTGGGGAGCTGGGAGGTGGGCTCAAGTACATGGCTCACCGTTGCTGCTGCTGCTGTGCTAAGAAGGCTTTTGATGGGTCTGGTTGGGGGAAAACAATTAACTATGTGTTGAAGATGGGTTTGAATAAAAACCCTGCTTGGGAATTGTTTGCTTGAACCATCTGTGATTGCAGGGAGGTTCTACCTGTCTTGAGGCTATGCTGAGAAGTTGCATGACTTCTTTGGTGTCTTTCCAGAGTTTCTGTTTTCTTAGTATTTTCATTTCTGTGTTGTGAAATGTAGGTTCAGAGAAATAATATTAACCTTTATCAAGTATTGGGGGTGTAGTAATTTTGAAGATCTGGAGATTGCTTTCACTTTGAGGTTTCTGGATGACTGTTAAGTGCTTCAGGGTTGATACCTGAATACATAAGAGTTTACTCTAGGCTTTATAAATTTATTTGAATTTGAAAATACTTTTAAAATATTTTGTTCAATGTGCTAACAAAATAGCAAAATTCTTATGTGTTTGTGGTGTGGTTTTCTTCTCCCCCCCCCCCCCCAGTACTTGATCTCTGTGCAACTGATTGAGGCAGCAGATTTTTATAATTCCCAAAGTCCTTGTTACGCCTTGCTCAATGACTGGTGTAGACTTTTTTATTCACTTCTTAGTGTGTAGTGATGTTGGCTAGAGGAATAACAAAAACTTGGCTAACTTCATTTGCTTGTAATTATTTTTTTTCTAGGTGGCTTCTCAACTGTATTTCTGGTACGTACCCACGGTGGGATACGTTATGCACTAAAACGAATGTATGTTAATAGTGTGCTGGATCTCAACATCTGTAAGAGAGAAATTACAATTATGGTAAGAAGCTCATTATTTGTAACTGGAGAATGTATTATTTTGCAATGTATACACCAAATCCCTCTTCAATAACAATGGGTTTTAGACCACCTTTTGACTTTACAGTCCTGATATTGCATTTTTAGCTTCAGAAACTAATGCTGAGTTCAAGGTTAGTGTATGATTAGCTTCTAAAGCAGTTACAAAATTGATGCCACTGCCTATTTGGTCAGTACATCTGGTTCCCAGGCAAAAGAAATTCCTTGCAGTTCTGCAGCGTCACTTAAATTCTCAAGGCCTCTGTATGCCACACTCCATTACCTGAGTGGTGCTCACTAGGCAAGAGAAAATACGTTATATTGCCTTCTGTCAGATACTAGGAAGAGTGTTTGTCTTCATTTCCATCTATTTCTACCTTCGCGTTTTAATCATAGCAGCACCTATGTAGTTACGTGATTGAAGAAGTACTTCTAGGCTTAGCCTCAAGTTACCTGGTAGGCAGGCGCTCTGTAATACAAATGGCAACACTTAAATAGTCGATGTGAAATAAACATAGTTTAATTCCACACTTAAAATGGCTCTGAAAACTTGTTGGGTTGTTTTTTTTCTTTTTTGTTTCCCTTGGGGACAGCTTCAGTTGTTTGTGTGTACTAAATTCTAATCATTCAGACTGCAAAAGTTGTGCATTCGTTTAATAACTGAGAAACTTTCTCACTTCAGCTTAGGATGGGCACTAGTAGCTTGCTTCTTGCATATCTCCCACATACCAAGGCTGTAGCTACTGCTACTTGCCAGTGCTGGCTTAGAGTGGAGTAATTGAGATGTTTTTCCACTGTCCAACAAGAAACACCTAAATGTTCATTTCTGAATAATGATTGTGTTTGGTGTGCAGCAGTCGCTGGCATTGCCAGCAGTGATGAGCTTATGTTCTGGGTTTGTGATGGTACTTCAGGAGTACTGGATGTGGGGCAGAGGCTAACAACTAGAAATCATAAAGGCTTGTCTGAAAACCTGTACTATCTTATTTGTTTGTGCTTTTCCATGCTCAGGTGTAATGTGTATTTTCTTTTTCAGAAAGAGTTGTCTGGGCACAAGAATATTGTGAGTTATTTGGACTGTGCTGTTAACTCCATAAGTGACAATGTTTGGGAGGTGCTCATTCTCATGGAGTACTGTCGAGGTAAGAGTCAACTTCTTTGTTTTTAGAGTAGATGCAGGGAAAATGTTTGCATTGACCACCTGGGATTTATATGTGGAATTGTTCCCATAATACAGACCTTGAATATTTGTATCTCAGAGCTGGAATCCAGATAGTTCTTTGTGTTGCACTGTTACTTAGGCACATAGATGTTGAACACTCTAGAAAATGTATCAGTTGGTTTCACATGGCTTTGTAAGCAAGTATGGTTCTTGAGACAGTCATTCTTCTATCTATAATGGTACAAGAGTACACGCATAGAACACTGAGTTTGTTTTATTGAAATACAGTGACTGCGGAAAGCTTTGTTGCATCTTATTTATGGGCTTTTTGCATATCCTTAAGTCATTACTTCTGTTCATGATAGGAGCTAATAACAAAAAAATTGCCTTGTTTGTTTAGCTGGGCAAGTTGTGAATCAGATGAATCAGCGTCTGCAGACAGGCTTTACTGAGTCAGAAGTAATGAGAATATTTTGTGATACCTGTGAAGCTGTTGCCAGGTTGCATCAGTGCAAAACACCTATAGTTCACCGGGATTTAAAGGTATGAACCTAATAATAAGGAACATATAGGTTAAAATCAATGGTCTACTTAAAAAAGGATAGAGAATACAGGAGGTATTTCACTAAGACTGACTTGTAATTAAAGAAACACTTGCTCTTGGTGGAGAGACTAAACTGTAAGACATCACTTACTGCTAATGCCAAGTCTTTCAACTGATTTTACTGATAACTTCCATGTTTGTGTGTGAGAACATATAAAAGTTAACTTGGAAATGAATGCTGTGTTTTTCATTTGATGTTTCTGTGTGTTAATTTCCTTTGAAGGTGGAGAATATATTGTTAAACAATAGTGGCAATTATGTCCTCTGTGACTTCGGCAGTGCCACTAACAAATATCTTAATCCTCAAAAAGATGGCGTTAATGTGGTTGAAGAAGAAATTAAAAAGTAAGTTCACTTTTAAGTGGCTTATTGTAGGCAATGATTGTGCTGGCAAACTCCATGTGTTCTTCTGCAGCATAGTTGTATCTTACTAATGTGAGTTAAACTTAATTGTTGAATTTGAACTAATGTTGACATAAATAGAGTAAAACTATTTGGTAACATAGATTTCTTCCATTTGCTCACAAATGGTTTTTGCAAAACTGAGACTGCAAAGAATAAAGCTGTTTGAAAAAAAACATGCTGTTCTGAAAGAAGTCATTCAAAAATATGTCTGGCCACTGACCATATTAGGAGTTTGGTGTTTTAAATTAATGCTATTTTAGTACAGCTAATGGCATAAGAGAAAAAGAGCTGATGCAAGTAAGCATTAGAATTGGGTTTATGTAGAGTCTTATTTATAGAGTAAGGTAATTCTCTAAGGCTGAGCATAGAAATATTTTAACTTTTATTAAAAGCATGCTTTTGAAAACATGTATATGTTTGGGTTTGCCCCTTTGGGCTAATTACTGCATAAGATTAAATACAGGCTACTTGTTCTCAAGTTATAGTGATAAGAGTTTTTTGGAGTTTTTTCCAGTTCTGAAAATCACTTTGACTACCACTGTAGTAATTATTTTGAGATATTAGTTTTTTGAAGTATACATACATATTTCAATATGTGGTGGAAAATGCTCTTGTAGGACTCCTCCATTACATCTTCTGAATGATTGGCTAGTGCAATACTTAAGTGTAGTGATTCTTGCAAAAGTCTATGTGCTAGGGAAACAACATTAAAAGCAAATTTATGTGACTCAATGTTTATTATTATATATGCTAATATTATGTTGCTACCCCAAATATTCTCTGTGGTGATGCAAATGCAGTAAGTGACTTGGACTGCAATTCCAGGCACGTATCTGAAACTTGAGTGTGAATGGGGGGTGTGTGTGTGTGTGTGTGTGTGTGTGTGGCAGGTGCAGGAAAACACGCTTTCAACTCCGGGGCATGCTGTTCATCAGTGTCCTCTTCTACTTACTTATTTCTAGATATACAACACTGTCATACAGAGCTCCTGAAATGATCAATCTTTATGGAGGAAAACCAATTACTACCAAGGCAGATATCTGGGTAAGCAAGAAATTGGGTACTATGAAATACGGAGCTAATGAAGAGGGGGGTGTGGGAAGCTAAAAGTGGCATACACTAAATGAAAAACTAATTATTTGAAAGGGAAAGATGCAGCTTTACAATACAGAATAGAGGTATCTTTGGTGCTTAGCTCTCCTGTCAATACAGTGAATGCCATGTGTCATGTTTAGTTTGAGATAAGTAGGACATGATTTAAAATTTGTTTCCTTTTTGTCCACTCCAGCTACTGTTTGATAGTTACTAGTGACTTGGAAGCCTGTTGGCAGCATGATAGGGAAAGGTGTTTGTATTAGGTAATGTGCAGTGAAGTAAATGAATATTAAATTCAGCAGAAATGCTAGTGTTATTGCTGGGTGATATGACAATGTGAATGCAGCTTTGGGGTACTCTCTGATTTTGGTAATTTGTTGTTTAGCATAGGAATCTGTGGGAAAGAAAGCCTTTCTAGCGCTACTTTATATATCAGCTTGTCACATCAACAGAGTGTTTCAGAATGTGGCTTCTACATAACAGTGGAAGGGTCAGCTGGTAGCTAGGATGCAGTTTATTTCTTGCTGGTGCTGCTTTATTGTGTTTAAGTCTAACTGTCATCCCTTTACAGTGCCTGTATTTGTTTCTACAGGCACTTGGCTGCTTGCTTTATAAACTTTGTTTCTTTTCACTTCCCTTTGGAGAAAGTCAAGTTGCTATTTGTGATGGAAGCTTTACTATTCCAGACAATTCCCGATACTCTCATAGTATACACTGTTTAATAAGTAAGTATCTAGGCAGCATGACAATTCTTTTGCTTTCTAAGTCAAATAAAACACAGATCGTTATAAGAGATGATGTAGAAGCATAGCCTGATGTAGTTAGATATGTGAATCATCTCTTACCTACTTTGAATTTTGTATTAACCCTAGAAAATTCTAGCATCATGGGTTGGTTATAAGTGGTTTTTCTCTGAAGCTGTTAATTACTACTTCAGTTTATCTACCCTTTCTATAACTGAGTGTCAAAATATCAAACATCTCTAATTGTATTTGACCCGAGAAACTACTGATTTGACAAAAAGTATTAAAAAAACCCAAACACAACCCCCAAAACAAAACCCCTACCCAATGTAACAATAAAACTGATTTTCTATGGTAAGCTCATTTGGCAGAGCTGATAAATTTCTTCCTGCTGCTAGCATGCTGACTTAACAGGCTTTTTGATGTCCAACAGTGACAATTTGGTCTTGCCAATTTTTGCAGGATATATGCTTGAACCAGATCAAGAACAGAGACCTGATATCTTTCAGGTATCTTACTTTGCCTTTAAACTTGCCAAAAAGGATTGTCCAGTATCTAATATTAATGTAAGTAATAATAATAAATTGTAAGTCTTTAATGTTGTCTGTATTTTTAGTGTATTTTGTAGGTAGCTTTGAGAAAAGTGTTATCAAACCATCTGAGAGATTACATCGATTTCTTCATAAACCTTGTTCCTAAGTATAAATCCAGTGTAAAACACAGCACACTTCAGGCTGCTGGTGCATACCTGCAATATTAGCTCTCTAAACAAGTAATCTTTTAATTTGGAGGGCATAGCTTCATAGATTATGTTGATTATGCAGGAATACCTGACTTGCTGTCTTAACCATTATTCATCTCTGGTGTCTACACAAAATACACTCGCTACAGGTCTTGTTGACAATTGAAGGTTTAATGTTGTAACTGTAGTGTCAAGAATGTTTATGTTTGTTCTCGACTGACACCTTTTAAGCATCCTTAGGAATTATGTTAATCCCTTGGAAGAACTACATTGAGCTAGAAGGTGAATGGGATAGTGCCTTAGTTGGTCTGCAGTCCTACCCTTACTGTCCATGTGAGGCTGAACTTTCTCTCCAAGATGATCTCATTCACAGATCTAATTGTGGAATTTGAGGGCACATCACTGAGTTTGACAGCAGCTTAATTTTTCCAGGGAAAGTCAGAAGTATGCCTGTCTTCTCCTAGACTTTTCTTGACTAATTCCAGTACTGATAGTAATCTTCAGAAGCGATTTTTGATAATTAACTCTCTCTGCTATTTGTGACCAGGTGTAGATTTGCATCCTTTTTGTAAGGAGGTAGTTACGTGTGTAATTAGTGATGCATCTCCTCCTCCTTCTCCCAGAATTGTGATTTCCGCCTGCCCTGGCCCTCCCCCCCACCCTGCCCTTTGGTAAACTGTGGTTTAGGTGAAATGTAGTTTGTTCAGGAACTTGAGAGAGATGCTGCATGGCTTTTTGGAATTAGCGTTGTGGTGGAAGAGCTGAGCGAGCTGAAAAACTGCTGTTGGTACATGCAAAGCTTAGGCCTTAGTTTAGTTCTTGAACTTGAGGAAGAAAAAAGTCTTCTGTGCAATCACAAGAAGACATTTAGAGAAAATGTTTTACTGTTGTTGGTGGTTGGTAGTGTGTAATTGAAATAGTTAACTGGTCATGGTTTTGTTGTACTTATGTGACAGATGAGAGAACAGAGGTACTGTTAAATTACAGCACTTCTAATCTACAGCCTTGTGAATTCTGCATGAAGCCTTGTAATGTGAAAAACTTGAACCCAAGTGTTCCTCTTCAGTTTGTAATGATGTTTTTCTTTCAGGAGTTTGTTTGTGTTTCTGTTTGTTTTGTTTTGTTGTTTTTTTTTTTTTTTAATTCAAATTTATTTTTCCCAAGAATTCTCCTGTCCCTTCAACTCTCCCTGAACCCATGACAGCTAGTGAGGCAGCTGCTAGAAAAAGCCAAATAAAAGCAAGGTGAGCAGTGAATGTGGCTTCACTTCTTTTTGCTAATATGGTCAAGCAAAAAAAAACCAAAAAAACAGAAAAAATCAGTGATGAATTAGTTTTTCTTAAGCAGTTGTACAGTTCTAAAAAATACCTATACTATAACCTGATAATGGGATTAAACCTCAAAAGTAGTTTGGTTTTGAGCATCTTTATTACCCTGGCAGACTGTTATACAGCTCTGAAGTACCTCAGGGAAGATGCACATATTTGGAGCACTTTATAGGCGTTACAACTGCTAGAGGCAGTTTTTCTAGCAAAAAGTAGAAATGAGTTGATTTAGCAGATTTTCTTAACCTAGTTTCCTGTGCATATGAACAGTAATCATATTTCTAGTCTTAGGATTGCTGGCTCAAACACTGGCCCTAACTTCCACTCAGTGCTGTGAACTGAGTGAGGAAAGCTTACACAGAGAAATTTCATGTAGTGTCATGGTCCTCTTGGGAATAAGGCTGTTGCACAGTTCTGTCTGAATCATGTTCTGCAGCAGTCATATATCCTATGGCTGCTGTGGGTGGTGAGTGGGAAGCTGAGGAAGCAAATTTTAAGTTATTAAAATGGAGCTCGGAAGTCAAGTAGCACATGGTTAAGACATAATTAAGCTATTAAGAGAAACTGTATCTGATTTGAAGAAAGTCCTTTTTTACCAAGTCTCTCATATGGGAAAACTTGCCATTTCAGAATAACAGATGCTGTGGGACCAACAGAAACCTCAATTGCACCACGACAAAGACCAAAGGCCAATTCAAGCACTGTCACTTCTAGCGTGCTGACCATCCAGAGCTCAGCAACTCCAGTCAAAGGCCAAGTTCCTGGTGAATTTGGTAATTGTGGGCAAAAAGGTAATATAACAAAGTCTAAGTGTGGACCAAAATAAATGAAAAAAGCATTTTATTTATTTTCCTTCTTGCTCTAGTAGGGATAGCATTTAAAACTCCAATTAATCTGTTTTTTTTTTTTATCTGCCAAAAAACAACTTTTGTGCTTTCCAAAAGACTAAATGTGCGAATAGTAAGCTTGACCAGGTGCCACACAAACTGAATGCAAATGGTTGAGAAGAAAAGGGCGTTCTTTCATTGTGCTTAACACTGATTTTGACCTAACTTTTCCACTGTGGACATGAGAAGTTCATGCTCAGTCTTGGTTTTCAAATAATTCATGGAAACTGCTGAGCCAATTCAAATTCTGTAATAAACTGCTTTCATTGTAGTAGGAAAAATACTTTCCTTGTACCTCAAAAAGTCATGAGATACCAACAATATGTTGGTGGTGTTTGTAGTCTGAAGCCATGTTAAAACTTCACTTCTCTCATGACTGACTGATGCATTTCACATTGCACTGGGAATGCAGTAGAGGGGCAACAGGGGAGTAATTGAGGGAGAATGGGTTAAATGAAGTGAAATGGGTTTTCAGTAAATCCTTTGAATTTGTCTTTATCTCATTCAGAAAGAGTTATGGCTCTGATCAATATTCACTTAAATAGTTATATCTTGAATACTTTCCCAGTTGCAGTTGATGTTGTGTGTCTACTACAGTACAGGAAGAATGCCTTAGGCATGGTATTGGGAAGGCATCCAATCAGTGTCCCAGGTGTAAACAAATTCTACTAGACAGTGGAGCATTAGGGATTAAGAAAGTAGAAGGTACAACTTCAGTGTTAGTACAGCATAAGTCTTGAACCCAGCTTGCTTTGTCGTGACAATGAAGGAAGGTTCCCACAATTGTGCATTGACAGGCCTGCAAGTATATTGTCAGTCTTGGAAAAGATGCTGTTAAACTGTTTCACCTTGAAGCCTTATATAAAGCAGTTAACTGCCAGTGAGCTCTCTAGCTAAACTTTAGAGATCAGTATGTCAGTAGTGTTGTCTGAATATCCCAGGAACAACGGGACCAGGGAACAGACAAAAAATCCTGCAGTCCCAAGAGACCAACCAGCACCCCCTGCAGCAGAACAGAGTTCTCCAGCAGCTGCAGCAGGGTGACTGGAGGCTGCAGCAGCTGCATCATCTGCATCACCAGCACCAGCCTATGATTCAGGATGCTTATATTCAGCAGGTACAAGTTGAATCGGTTTGACACACCTCTAAGAGACACTTCTTATGCCTATTAATAATGCTTTAAATGGTGTGCTAGTTGAATACATCTGCTGTTGCTGCCTAATTTTTTTTCCTGCTATGAGAGAGAGCAAGGGATTGTTGCTCCTGCCCCTTCTTTTACCTCTGATTTGCCTCTTCATAGGCATTGTACTGCTTATCCTTGGAAGTTGCTTTTGCAGTTTGACCCTGAACCCTAGCTTGCTTTGAATTACCCCTGTGGCCCAAATACAGGTTTTGTATATGCATAAATGTGCTGGAGATAAATCACAGAATGGTTTGGTTTGGAAAGGACCTTAAGATCATCCAGTTCCAACACCCTGCCATGAGCAGAGATGCCTCACACTAGAGCATGTTGTCCAAGGCTCTGTCCAACCTGGCCTTGAACACTGCCAGCGGTGGAGCATTCACCACTTCTTTGGGCAACCTGTACCAGTGCCTCACCACCCTCACAATAAAGAACTTCTTCCTTATAACTAACCTGAACTTCCCCTGTTTCACTTTAAATCCATCACAACTTGTCCTGTCACTACAGTCCCTGATGAAGAGCCACCGTCTGGCACTCGAATGTTAGGGATTATCTAGGTGATGATGTTACACTTGCAGTATGTGGTTGTACGTACACCATCTGAGTAGGATTTTGGTTTTTTTTTTGCTTTTTTCAGTTTCTTTTGGTCAGTGAAGAGCTTCCTTTTTGTAGTTGTTCTCTCTGCCTGGATGTTTAATGGGTACCACATGTGGTGACACTGTCCAGCTTGCATGCCATCAGGTGTAATTGCTTAAGTTGTGTAGCATAAATAACTGTAAACATTGCAAAGGAGTAGCAATGTCAAGCAAGAACTTTCACATCCTTCCAAGATGCCTACTGCTGTGGCTTTTTTGATTTTTAACCCTATTGAGAAGCTGTGCTTCTTTAAAGCACAGCTGATGTGTTTTCCAAAGGGGCTTAGTACTGGTGAAGATGGCAAAAGCTAGGATGGCAGTTGGCCTGCCTTAGAAAAGGCAGTGCTGAATATGTAGTTTAATTTTTGGTTAAACAGGCTGGTATTAATTGTGGGGGGAGGGGGAAACAAACCCAAAACAGAAAAGCTTCCAAACAGTCATTAAAATGCAAAGGCTAAATTGGAAGCTGATTCTTGATTATGTGATATCTTAACTGGAAAATGCTGTTGAGTCACAGAAGTGATTTTAATTGATGCTTCTTCTAAATATCTGGGTATTTCCAATGGGGGGGATTATGACTTATTAAAGCTGTTTTCTTCTTTCTGCCTATAGTATCAACAAGCAATGCACCAGCAGATGGTCCAACAGCAGCTGTTGATGCAGTCTGTGTACCAGCAGCAACCTTCCCAATCTCAATACCCTGCCATGGTATGTCAGGAATAGACCATAAATGGTACAGCTTTAAAATACAAGCTGTGTTTGGAGGTCTGTTGTGAATGTTCAGTAAGAAAAGTTTGTGAGTAGTTGTAATGAGCTGTGGATTTGGTTAAATAGTGTGAAGTTCAGCATCTAAAATAAAAATTCAGCTGGGGGGGTGGGTCAAGTTAACCCAGAGTGATAGAAGGCATCAAATCCTACTTTAAAAGGAAGAAAGCTACCTGGCATAATAAATTTCTAAAGAAATTGTCCTGAAATTTTGGTTATTAATATTTAAGAATAGGGTATGATGAAAACTAATGACTTAGTGCTTCAGTAGGTTACAATAATTGCAGAAAGCTAAGTGGCAGTATGTTGAAAGAGAAAAATGGTATCACTGACTTGTTACGGCTGTTTTTCACCTGTATAATGGACAGATCTGGCTTCTTGCTTTAGCTGAAGCTACTAAGCTTCTCTGGAGTGTGGTGGCTGTTAGAGCATTTGGCTGTAAGAATGGTAGTGTTACTGAGCAGAACAGTTTTACACTGGCCTGTGTGAATTTTAGTAACACAATCATTATCTTAGGTGCAGCAATATCAGCAGGCTCTGCTACAGCAGCAGATGTTTGCTCTGCAGCAACAGCGGTCGCAGCAGGCACAATCTCCTGAATATATCGCTTCTCCTCAAGATTTCTCACCAGCCTTAATCTCCTACCCTGGGTCACTGCCAGTGTGTGCTGGAACAGTGGCAGATTCTCCCTACCCTCTAAGCAGGCAAGTATTCTGACATAGGTGTACCTAAGGGTTACTTTACTGCATGTATTCTTAATTGTGATGAGCACTGCTGAATCCTTTCCTCAGAAATTACTTGCTTCAGTAGGAAGCAAGTTATTAGGAAGTAGTGAAAAGGAGGAAGTGTTACTTAAGAGCAGTTGGATAATTGATATTTAATGGTAAAGGATATTTTGGGCAGAAAACGGGACACAACTTTTTAACAGATGAATCTGGTACAACTTCTTAAAGGACCCATCTTCCACTTTTTCTTCTTCATGGACTTATTCCAGGAGCTGACTGCTAACCACTTTGCTTAGGATGGTCAGTTGAATGAGGTTGAGTGTGTGGAAGCCTTTCTTTGAAGAAAGGCCTTATAGCGGGCAATTATCTGCTAGGGCTTCTAACTCTTGTGCCTGTTAATCAGAGGTCTGACTTAAACACTCCACATCATGGAGTATACCTCAACAAAGAGACAGTCCATTTGCAGGGGTCTGCAGACTTATGTTAATAAAGAATGTATTGTCCATTAATTCTTATGAAAAACAAAGTGTAGAGTAAAAGACCCCTTCCATTACTGATTTTAAAAATAAATCACAGCTTTGTCCAGTTTCACTGATGCTATGAACTAGGTTATAGATCGATACAGGTTCCTACTCTACTATATTTAGAGAGAAGTCCTCTGCAAGTGTAGGAATGCTGCAGTCTTTGGTGCAGTCAATTGTGAGACAGGCTTTCAGTGAGTAGGGTGGCTTAGGTGTTTTGGGATGCTGCTGTCATTCTTAGTATCTACTAGATTACAGTGTGTTGAAAGAGTAAAAGGCAAGTTTTTTTCCTGCTGTAGGCTGGGTTGATATAATATGTATCACTGTGACCACTTTGGCTTCATCTCACCAATTATGCAGTCTAATTCTTAGAGAGTGTTGTCCTGCACTTCGATGCCCATATTTGAGACCTACCAGCTGTACTTTGGTCAGGTCAATTGCCAGAGTACTTTGGGCAAAACTGACTTCTGAAAGGGATTCTGTTCCAGTCTGGCAGTAAATGTGTGTATTTCCAGTTGCTCTTCTGTGTTTTTGGCTGAAGATTTTGACCCTTATGTTCAGTTTCAAGTCAATGACTGAGTTAGCAATGGTTTGCAATGTATAAAATTGATCTTGCAAACAAGAAATATGATTTCCTATCTTAGAATCATAGAATGGTTTGGGTTGGAAAGGACCTTAAGGTCATCCAGTTTCAACCTCCCGGTGTGGCCAGACACCTCACACTGACCATATTACTGAAGGCTCTGTCCCACCTGGCCTCAAACACTGCCAGAGATGGAGCATTCACCACTTCTTTGGGCAGTTTGTGCCAGTGCCTCACCACCCTCACAGTAAAGAACTTTGTTACATCTAACCTGAACTTCCCCTGTTTCACTTTAAACCCATCACCCCTTGTCCTATTGCTACATTCCCTCATGAAGAGTCCTTGCCTGGCATCCTTGCAAGCCCCCTTCAGATACTGGAAAGCTGCTCTGAGGTCTCCATGCAGCTTCTCTTCTCGAGGCTGAACAGCCACAACTTTCTCAGTCTGTCTTCATATGAGAGGTGCTCCAGCCCCTGATCATCCTCTTTTTCCAACAGCTCCATGCCCCTTTGGAAGGGACTATGAGTTTCTTTTCCCTTGACATAGTACAGTGTGTTGCACTGTATGTTGTCCATCTCACAGTAGCAAGAGCCAGTAGTCTTTGGGACAGCAGAACCCAAGCTGACAGGAAGAAGCCCCTTCCCCTTTGTCTTGTCTTGAAGAGATGGTTCCTTTGGAGATGGGCTGCAGCTGTGGCCTGCAGAACCTGGCTGGGCACACAGAGAAACTGGTTAACATGCAGGAGCTTGTTGATTGCTGCTTTTCTAGTCCCCTTCAGACCAGTAGGTAAGCGGTAGGTATAGTTTGCTAAAATATACATGAAAGGAAAAACTGATCTAGTCAAAAAAGATTTCCTTGGTTGTGTAGATAAGGCTAACACAACCAGGAGCTGTTATGTCAACTGGTTAGTTACATCAGTGGGATGGAAGTGGGATTCAAAGATGCTTAATGTGTCTGCCAAGAAAAAAGTAACTTTAAAATGAAGAGAGCTACTTAAAACTTAGTAGGCTTTTCTGAGGCACACAAGGGCAGTCTCCCATGGCAATAGAGAAATGACCACAGGTGAAATACAGTTTTTGCCCTTGCATGTCACCTTGATGAAGGATTCTGTGCTTTAGCTACAATTAATAGAGTAGAAGGTAAAAGTCCAAGGGTTGTGTACAGAAATGATATGCTCAAACCACATTTCAAGCATCGTTTTGCTCTTAAATTAGCTTTCAGATGCTTTTGGGCTAAGCTGTTAAATGCGTATGTTTTACCTGTGTGTAGTGTTTTGGGATAGTGAAACATGTCATAGATTGTCACCCTGATAATCCTGTAATGTTTCTCTTTATTTGCTTCCATGATGGACTTTACAGGTCAGGTATTCCTGATGCTGAATCAATTGCCAGTTACCCAAAGCAGAGCATCAGTAACCCACCTGATATGTCAGGCTGGAATCCGTTTGGAGAGGACAATTTTTCCAAATTGACAGAGGAGGAGCTGCTGGACAGAGAATTTGACCTGCTAAGAACAAGTAAGGGACGCTTGAAGGCTTATTTTGCTTCACAGTAAATAAGGGCTCTGTAGTTGCTCAGCCCTTCCAACGAGGGCCTGCCAAGGGCCATTCAGGCTGTGTACAGAACATTCTTTCTGAGCATTTGAGGGCAGAGTTGGGCCTGTCTCTCTCCTTTCCCTTTTGAAAATGTGTGCAATAGGAACTCACAGTCTAAAATCAGTAGTTACTGATTCAAATACTGCAGAAAAGGTAATAGCTCATAAATACTGCTTGTGTCACCTTGGTTGTCAGAGGCTCTTAACAGCAGAGGTATGTTGTCAAACAGGAGAAAAAGTTTGGCTGCTTGCTTTATTCATTTCCAGCTTTTTTTTTTTTCTTTCAAACCAGAGCAGAAGATTTTGTGGTTTGGATCTGTCCTTTGAAAATGCCTGAAAGAAAATTGATCTAATACATTATGTTAATGTTTTGTAATGTCCTTTTTGATGAGTGGCTAAGTGTAAGGACTGCTTTATTGTTCTGATATGACAATAGTTGAATAAACTTTTTGCTCTTAAATTCAGTTATCTCCATGTTTTTTACTTCAAATTAATTCCTTTTCTTAATTGCTTAACACGTGCTTATTTTGGATGCTTTCTAAGTGCCACATATATCTTTTAACCATGCAAGAGTTTAGACTTGAAGAAGGCTTGAATAACTTAAAGCTAAATGCTGGGAACTGCTGTCTCTAAATCTCCAGCGGAAAGAACAGTTAACTACCACTACAATTCCATTCTCCAGTTTTTGTACTGCATGTATGAAAATAGTCTGGAGTTTTAAAAGACTGAATCTACTTAGGCATGATTTTGGCTCGGCTCTTAGTAAAGGTAATTTGATGCATGGAAGAGCCAGATGTGACAATAAACTTCATATACTGTATCAGAAAATAAATCTGACAGCATAGTTCTGCTTAGTAATAACCACCATTAAGGCTTTTTAGTCACTTGATTACAGAAAGTGCAGAAATTTAAAATGACTCTCTAGACCAGTAGCACACTAGGTGGCAGGCTTGGTCGTGCATACTATGAGGTGTAGTTCCAGCCTCTTAGGCCTTCTGGCTTGAGATCCAGGGAAGGGGGAGTGTTGCTAGTTTTAATCTTGGAGTGTGTGTGTGTTGTGTTTACACATAAATACATACATCAAAGACTTCAAGACTTGTTTTTTGTGCCGAAGAGGTATGAATTTGCAGAAATATATATATTTTGTCTACTGCTCTTTTCTCAAACTTAGGTGGATTAACATGAAATTGGGGGATTTATTGCACAATTAAGGCTTATATCTATAAAATTGTCTTTAATTGTATACTACTTCCTGGAGTTTCCTCAGATGTATTTGAAGGATCGAGGCTTTATTCCCTTTGGATGTAGGTTATCTCTTATGAGAGAAATCTTTTGTTTACTACTAGCTAATTTTTTTTTACTCAGTTTTTGAGTTTACTGTGAATCATTTTGCCATCTAGAGAAAGGAGAATTGAAGATACAGGTTTAATAAATGCTTCAATCTGTTACTAAACCTGGTTGCTGTCCTGTACTTTACGACTCATGTACAGCATTATGCAAGTTGTCTTTCTGTGATGCGGTGTGGTACTAAGTAGCATTCAAAACACTAATCCTTTCTTTCTGCTTCCTAAAGCCTGGTTTGTATTGTTAAGCTGATGCTTTATCCATAAATTATTACTATTTTTAAATCTCAAATATTTCTAAAGCTGTTGTATTCCTGACAGTAATACATGAGTAATGAAATCTACACAGCCTTTGTTAGAGGATCCAGATGTCATGAGTTTTTGTTAGGCTGACATTACTGTTGGATGTCATGCATTTAGTAGCTAAATGTCATAGTGTGTGTAGTGATGTATATTGCTGTGCTGATTAATCAGTTTGCCTTTAAAAAGGGAGGTAATTCCTAGAACAGAATACCTTCTTACACTTTGTGGAAATTTTCATATTAAAAAGATGACAGTTGCAGTAAAATGTAATGTTCAGTTGAATGAAGCTTTCTAAAACTGAGTGCTTTTGTGGAGAGCTTTGATATGGAGTTACACGATGGGAGTTTCTGGTTCTTGTGTACACTGTTGTTTCTTTGGTTTTGTTGTCATCATTTGTATTAAGGATGATCCAGAAGCAACACATGATGCTGAGATTCCGACATCATTGTGAAGAAATGGATTTCTTACAAAGAGCTCCTCTAACCACTTCATAGTCTTTGCAGAGTTGGGAGCCAAGAAAATGAGTTGCCTTTCTCACCAGGGCAAAAATACGGCACAGCCTTCACACTGAATTGCACAAAGATGCTTATTGGGTCCAGAATCCTCTGGGTGCCTCAGCAGAGACATCTATGGGTCCAAAGCCTAAAAGCTTGGACGTCTATGGGTCCACAGCCTACAAAGTCCATCTCCTTTGCAGTACGTACAGTATGAAGGAGCTACCTGAGCCATCTGTGCAAGGAAGAGCTGTGGTTCTTAACAGGCTTTCTTTGTGCGTAAGTGCTGCTTGTACTTCTGAAAGTCCTGAGAGCTGTCTGCTGAGGAACCTTGTGCCTCTCACTTACATGGAGACAGCTGGATTCCTTGTTCATGGATTTGAATAACTGCACTGTTCTATAGAAGAGTCTGCTGTGTGACACGGTGCATGATTGTGTCTCTGGCAGCAGTCTGGGCTGTGTTTGTGTGTTTGCTCACTGAGGTGGGGAAGAAAACTTGGCTTTTTATTTTAAGGAGGTGGTATCTGGAGCATAATACAGTAATACTGACACTCCTACACATCTGCTTGTGTGAAGCTGGAGGACCCATCTGTCTATCTCTCAAACACTCTCTGATAGAGAAGTGGATCTTGTTACAAGGTGGGCAAATGATGTGCCTCAGAAGACTGAAAAAGTGGTTCTTCCTTTTCCAGTAGCCTTAGAGCTGATGAATTGACAATTTTTAAATTTTATTTTCAAGGGAAGTGTATCCTCTTACATATATACTTGGTTGCCATGGAGGAGCTGAAACCTTCTGTTTACTCACTTTGCCTTATTTTTCTTGTATGCTTAGCACTTGAATCCATTTTGTTTTCCACTATCCCTGGCCCTGCTGTTCAAGCTGGGAGATCTGATCATCATCTGGCAGCTTGAACTTGCATGGTCTTGCATGCCAACATTTGCATGGACTCTGCAAAGGGTAGTTGTTGCACCCTTAAAAGTTATTCTAGAGTTTGGCCTGCAAACTGTGCAGCAGTCAACTGGGTTTTCCCCTGGAGGCAAGACAGTAAGGATAATAGAGCAAAAGCATCTTTGATTCAGTTTGCATTTATAAAGCAACACACACCCGCAAATAAAATAAAATGCCACCAAACCAACTCAAAACCCCAAACTGTTCCTGAGGGGAGAGTGCAGTGTGACTTCAGAATCGGGAACAAATGCTGCTCTTGGATGTGACACTCACCAGTTTTCTGTTGTCAGGGCTCAAAGCTGATTGTATAAAACATCCAGCTACCAGTTGTTGGTGCATCTCTGCTAGTGTTCTTGGCCTCATGGCTGTGTCACTGCAGGATAATCTTCATGTTGGTTAGTTGCTACCTATTCCATTATGTGTATGTTGAGGTGAGAGCAACTACTTAAGCTCTACACTAGGAGCGCCCAGTTGGGATTCTATTTTATGCCAGCAGTAGAACAACTCTCACTTGCATTTCTTTGGAGAGTCTACTGGTAGGTAAAAGTCAAGTCACTTTATGGACACTTGAATATGAACAGAACACTTTTCTGTGGAAAAAATGGTGAATAATTCCAAAACTCCTGGGCTTTGTACAGAGGGTTAATAGGCATCTGTCTGAGGGAGATGGGCTTGCCATCGTTCCTGGTGGTTGTCTTAGTAAAGCCTACTGGTTTCTGTGTTGAAGGACTGGATAGAAGACATGCAGGTAGCTTGATATGTCAGTAGGGTGCAGTTGAGCTGCTTCTCCACAGTGGCAAATTGTCAAGAAGGTTGTGCTGCAAATGGTTTGGAAGATCAGCAGCTTGCTGTGGGAAAGGGGGAAAGTGAAAAGCTGTGTCTTCTGCATAGTGCACGTAGGATGTTTGCTGAAGGTGCAGTATGTTGTCTCAAAATATGTTGGCTGATGGGCGTTCCAGGACCCTCCTGAGTTATGGTGTGGTGGTTGAGCTGGATGGGCTTGATCTTTAGTTGACAGCGATGTTAGAATCTGACCTTAGACAGAAAGACTTGTGTTTACCATTCCTAGTGCTTCAAATATCTGTGTTAAAAAACGTTTTGTATGTCACTTTATAAAAGGAAAATAAAATGAAATTGTGTTTTAAGGGTTGAAGATGGTACAAAACTGATGCTATGTTTCTCTATATTATGACACTCAAATTGGTTTTGATTACTAACAGATGTTACGTGCTTAATAAAAAGTATTCCCAGCTGTTTTGCTGTGGTTGTCAACTTTCCTCTTTTTCTGGCAAAGGCTGGCCAAAACTGCGATAAAATGGATGATTCTATGTTTGAACTAAGTGTAGTGCTTTTGACTTGAAAACCTCAAAAACACAGAGGTACAAAACCTCAAAAGCACAGAGAGATACCTTTTGCATAGGCATAAGACCTGCCATTTTTATTTTATGTTTTGTTCTGTTTTGTTTTTGTTTTATTTTACAGGCAGGCAGCAGCCAGGACAGGACAGGACAGCATCTTCAGATAAGAATGTGGAGCCACATTCTGTTCCACAGAAAAATCCTCCTGAAGATCCCTTTGGTTCTGTTCCTTTCATTACTCACCCAGGCAAGTTACATCTGTAACATCACTACCTCATATATATGCAGTCATATGTATGTATCTGTTGAAGTATTTACATCCAGTTAAATGACCAAAGAATGATGCTGCCTTATGACAGTAAATGAGTTGAATATTTTTTTAATAATGTTGATTATCTCAAAAACCCACTTCTGCACCCCCAGCTCCTGGTACATGTACAGTGTACAGACGAGGTAGTCTGCACAGTGCATTTACA